GCCTCCCCGCGGGGGTATGGAGGCTCGGGGCAGAGCCTCCGCTCACAGATGCGAGGCAAAACACAGCTCCCGACTTCAGCAGAGGCCAGTGCGGGGCTCACTGACATTTATCTGCCCGAGCCAGGGCTGCCGCCTTCAGCTCGGCATGGGCCGATAGCAGGGCTGGCTCCCCGCCTTCCTGCCTGGTGTGAGGACAGCCCCAATCCCTGAAACGTCTACAGTAATTTCAGCTTTTTTAGCAGTTAGAGTGCTTAGAAACAAAAACAGAAATAAAATGCCATGTTTTCCCCATGGCATCAGCTCCTCAAGGCTGGTCAGACAGTGAATAATTTCCCCAGTAAAAACTAAAAGCTGGTAATTGCCAAAGATTTTCTTGCTGGAAAAGAGGATCCAGCTTTCTCATGGCTTCCGGTTTTTAATGCAGTTGAGGAGACAGCGATTCAAGCTGCCCATTTTCTAGGAACTAAACCAGGTATCACTGCCACAAAGAGAGCAAGTGTGAAATTCTATTATGTACTTTCTTCCATAGTTTATTTGACCCAAACCAGCTTGTCTTACTTGTTAAGGGTGGCAGATACATGGCAATAGGAGTCCTAACTGGAGTAAGTGAGCTTTCCTGGTAGATGTAATGCCATCCAGAGTCTGCATGCTCAGTAGTTTCCCCCTCCAAATTGGGAGCTTCAAGCAAAAGAAGAACCGTTCCTCTTCCCCTTTCAGGTAACATCCAGAAGAGGCCAAAACAGCAGGGAAGGGAGAACTATCTCAACCAAAAAAAGATGTGATTGACAATTTATGAAGCGCTCTCTCAGAGATGATCTAATAAATTCGCCCATAGCTGGTTCAGTTTACAAGGTCTACTGCCAAAATACTTACAAGAACCTTACCAGAAACAAATCAGATACTATATATTAAGAGCAGCAACATCAGTAGTAACAACAAAAATAACACTTAAGGGAATTAAATGAGAGGCCAGGAAAGGGTTAAGAAAATCCCATAAAGAATGCAGACAGGGATAGAAACTTGTGGGGATAAAAATGACTGTTGGAAACTTTTAGAAGGTACTATATTGTTGACATTGTATGTCTGCTTTCATTTTAATTTTAAGGTACTGATGCTTAATGAGCTTTGTGTTGCTGCATTAAAAATGTGTATGCTTAATACAGACCCCAACTGACATTTAGCAGCAATGATGCAGAAGTCAGTGCCTGCCTCCTCTCAGCCTCTCATTCCTGTCCCCATCCTGTCTCTACATTGGGCCAACACAGCCCAACCGAAAGATCAGTGAGGGCTTGTACCAAATACGTGCCAACAAATGTTGGTGAGACTTTTTTTCGTGCAAACACTAATAAAGAAGACTCTTCTGTTAATTTATTCAATGACAAAGTTTCTCTGTTTGGCACCTGACAAAGGCCACTTTGAAACTAATTTGGATTAGTTTTTGGAAGTACAGTATAATGGGATCTTTCAGATTTTTTGGCTTTCTGCCTTGCACTCTTCCCTATAGAAATGACATGCCTTAGAGGGACACGCTCTGAGGAGTAGCAAGGGAGGCATACCAGACTGTACTAAGAAATCTTGGTAAGAATTTACTGAACTAATTTCTTCCTCTTAAAAAGATCACTAGTGATTCAGCATTTAATAAAGTATTTTAAAATATGATCATCCTTCAGTGCATTATTTTACAAGAGCATACATTTGGCAGGATAGGCTGCTCATTGATTGCTATTGATGTCCACCAACAAATAGCATGATTTTCCAGGGGATGAGCAGTTACCGGAGAGAGGGCTGTATTTCCATCTCAGCTCTAGCATGTACACACTCCTAGATCAGGAAAGTGCACTTGACCTGGGTCTTGTGTTTTCTTTCGGGGAACACCGAGGAATGGAAATACTCAAAAGTATGAAGTTGTAGTACCAAAGGCACATGAGATAAAAAAAAAAGAAAAAATACAATAAAATTCTATTTAGAATTTAGATTAAAGAAACTTGTGTGAATTATAGCTGCTAAGTAAAAATAAGAGAAAATTATATGCAAGGAAATAAATAATTAGGACTTAATATAGTATATTTCCTGTTGAAGATTTTAATTTTTTTAAACATATTATAAGCAGCCTAACAACTCTCTGTTGTTGACATGCAGCCATTTCTGAGGTGAACAGAGAAGAGCACCAGGGTTTGACCCCATACCCAGAAAAAATAATAAAATTCTATTTAGAATTTAGATTAAAGAAACTTGTGTGAATTATAGCTGCTAAGTAAAAATAAGAGAAAATGATATGCAAGGAAATAAATAATTAGGACTTAATATAGTATATTTCCTGTTGAAGATTTTAATTTTTTTAAACATATTATAAGCAGCCTAACAACTCTCTGTTGTTGACATGCAGCCATTTCTGAGGTGAACAGAGAAGAGCACCAGGGTTTGACCCCATACCCTGTTAAGAAACATGAAATCTTTATTAACCAGACTGTACCACCAGAACAGCACCATGAGTAACTAAAACGCTGGATTACAGGACCAGTTCTCCACTTGGTTGGGAACTGTTAGGAGCACAGTTTGTTAGCATGTTTTGACCTGGATAATTAGCAATGATAACTTGATGTTGGAGCCAAGAATTCTTTCTAATGCAGTACTGAATACACAGGATACTCCTGCATATTCCCAAAGACTGTACAAAGTCCCGCTTCCCAGAAGACCAAAGGGACATTATCTTCTCACTGTTCAACACCTCCTCCCCACTCACCAAATACTTAATCAAAGCTCTGTAGACTTTTTCTTTGAGCCACATGTTCTTCTCTAGCCTTGAATGTACCTTTGTTTTGGGTGGAGCTTCTTTGTGTTCCAGCACTCTGGGTTTATAGTAGAGTTTTCTTTTAAGATGTTTGTAAACTAAGGGTGACAGTCATGGACATCAGTTCTCATGGAGTTTAACCCAACCCATAGAAATACCAAAAAGCCCCCTTGCATTAATAAAAAAACCCAACATTTGGACTAGCGATGACCATAGCTATAATAGTGTGACTAATGTATGGGAGAGGCAAGATTTTTGTGTACAAACTACTGAGAGGACAGATTTATACAGTCCATCAGCTCTTGATCACAGCTATCCTCCACCACTGGCAACTCAACTTCGGCAGTTCAACTGTAGATCACAGAAAACACCATTACTGGCGTTGCAAAGCCAAGCTTTCCAATAGCTACTAAATAAACATAAAACTGAAAGTTGTCCCCAAAATCTTAATTTGATCCTCTTGAGCATTCCCATGCCACCCATTACATAATCATGAACTGCTTTCCCCCTTGATTTTTGTTCCATTTTCACTGGAATCGAATGTTTCCATCCATTTACGTGCCACCAAAGTAGTCAAACGAGTGTATGGGAGAGACAGTTCCTGCTTTTTGATCTGGGCAACAACTCAACCAGTGAAAAGCAGCTGGAGCAACCATTACATGATTCGTCCTGCTGACCTGTGGCTTTTATCATACTCATTTACCTACAACAATTACACATATATAGGCTGGCCCCACACAGGAGCTGCAAGAGGCTTAACCCTCTCAATGAGGACAGGCTTCAGATAATTTACCTTTTAAGATCTAGCAGTGACCACATGCAAACGTATTTTTCAAAGGCATACAACTGAGCCAATTTGGACAGATTTTCAGGGGATCACAAATGTATCGTTGTACTTGATGTGAAGGCTACTTTACTGGTAAACTGCAAGCGCTTGCTGTAAAGCCTGAAACACTGGAGTATTCTGAAGAAAAGCTCTCAAGAATTTACTGTAAGCAAGTACCTTTCTCCAGTTTGTTTCTGAAAATACTAAAAGTAACGGTGGTTTTTTCTAGAAAGAGTCAGAGAGGTAGCATGGAAGTTGTAGCCAAATTGTTAGGGTATGGTGATAACTGAAAGACCACACTGCCTTACAATAGGAAGTGTCAGGTGAGCTTCAAAGCAGCACTATCGATTGAAAATGTAGCACTAACATCTCTCTAAATAACCTTTCAGTAGGATATTACAAAAAAGTGACTTTTCCAAGAATAGACAGAAATAAGAATACAGAGGATGAGCAGACAGCAAGAATGTTGACAAATGCATCAGGATGAAATCTGTCCCCAAATCTACAGGTATAATCTCAGTGCAGTTTCCCCACAGCTGTGCACCTAGTTTTCAACAGCGTAGAAAAATCTACATATCTTACTAACACAATAATTACAACAATGGGTGGAGAGACTAGCACTTCTTAGGTAACCTCCTTATATTCAGTTACAGGAAAAATACTTACTCAATGCTCCTTCATTATTGACAACAAGCCAAATTTTATATGAAAATTGGAATTATGCTTACAGACAACATGGCCTTGTAACTCTAGTACTGGAAGAAGTACTGTTCTCATACTGTTCATTGCTTACCAGGTAAATGGACAATACAATGCACAAGGCAGGGACCTGCGTTCAACCTCTGTTAAATGTTCTTAGCTGAACTTTGGTTATCTAAAAATGTAGTTCAGGATTTGGAAAGTTTGTTGTTTTCTAACG